AAGCCAACTTCATTTTTTTTTTTTGGCTGCACAACGTGGCATGCGGGATCTTAGTTTGCTAACCAGGGATCGAACCTGTGACCCCTGCAGTGGCAGCACGGAGTCCTAACCACTGGACTGGCAGGGAAATCCTGAACTAAACTCGTACAGAATGTCTTTATATATAGAAAGATGAACATAAAAACAATACATTTCTTATGAGCACTCATATATACCTGAACACAGAGAAAGAGATTTTGGTAGGCTATACGGCAAACTAATATCAGTGGTGACCTCTGGAGAAGGGTAGAAACTGGGCCTGGCTTTCTTTTTTTTGAAATTAATTTTTATTTATTGTGTTAGTTTCTGCTCTAGAGCAAAGTGAATCAGTTATACATATACATATATCCACTCTTTTTTAGATTCTATTCCTATATAGGTCATTACAGAGTACTGAATAAGAATTCCCTGTGCTATATAGTAGGTTCTTATTAGTTATCTATTTTATATATAGTAGTGTGCATATGTCAATCTCAGTCCCCCAATTTATGGGCATGGCTTTCGTCACCAACAGGATTTTTGTCTCACCTTTAATTTTTGAAAATTTTACAAGGCTTTATGTTTATCACTTGTAATTAACAAATATATATTTTTAAAGGATATAAAACAATGTAAATGGTATGAGGAGAAAACTATATTTAAAAAGTCAGTCATTGGGCTTCTCTGGTGGTGCAGTGGTTGAGGGTCTGCCTGCCAATGCAGGGGACGCAGGTTCGTGCCCCTGTCCGGGAGGATCCCACATGCCGTGGAGCGGCTGCGCCCATAGGCCATGGCCGCTGGGCCTGCGCGTCCGGAGCCTGTGCTCTGCAGCAGGAGGCCACAGCAGTGAGGGGCCCACATACCGCCAAAAAAAAAAAAACGAAAAAAAAAAACGGTAAATGTCAGTCATGTAAGACTAAAGAGATATGACAACAAAAGGTAACACGTGGCCCTGGACTGAATTCTAGATTAAAAAGCAACTTTCTTTTGTTGTAAAGGACACTCATAAGACAACTGGCAAAATTTGAATAAGGCCAGTAGATAAGATCATAGTATCAGTATTAATCGATTTAAGTTCCTGATTTGCTAACTATATGGTGATTATACAAAAGAAATGTTCTTGCTTTCAGGAAATACATAGCATATTTAAATGCTAGGGGCACTGTATCTGCAACTGATTCTGAATAGCTTTGGGGGGGAAAATATAGATAGATACAGAGAAAGAGAGAGGAGGGAGAAGGAAAAATGAAATGAATGAGAAACCTAAAGGGGTAAAAAGTTGACATTTGGGGAACCTACACATGGAAATTCTTGTACTATTTTTGCAACTTTTCTGTAAGTCTGAAATTATTAAAACAACAACAACACACTTGTATTCTGGTTTAGTTACCTACCAAAGCTGAACCTTCACATACCATGTGATCCAGCAATTCCACTCCTAGGTATATACCCAAGAGAAATGAAAACGTACATCCTCACAAAAACTTGTACACGAATGTACATAGCAGCATTATTCATTACAGCCAAAAAGTGGAAACAACCCAAATGGATAAAATGTGGTATACACAACAGAGTATTATTCGGCAATAAAAAATGAAGTACAGATACATGCTACAACACAGATGGATCTAGAAAACATTAGGCTGAGTGAAAAAGGATACACACAAAAGATCACATACAGTAGGATTCTATTTATTCAAAATGTCTAGAATAGGAAAATCCAAAAGAAGATAGAAAGTAGTTTAGTCACTGCCTACTGCTGGCAGGTTGGGGAAAATGAGGGTATGTGATTTTCTTGGGGTTGGGGGGTAGATAATGAAATTATTCTAAAGTTGATTGTAGGGACTTCCCTGGCGGTCCAGTGGTTAAGACTCTGCACTTCCAATGCAGGGGGTGCAGGTTCAATCCCTGGTCAGGGAACTAAGATCTCACACGCTGTGCAGTGTGACCAAAAACAAAATGAAACAAAATGAAATGAAATGAAATAAAATTGATTATAGTGATGGCTACATAATTGTGAAAATAATAAAAACTAAAACCATTGACCTGTGCACTTTAAATGGGTGACCTGTATACCATGTAAATTGTATCTTAATAAAGCTTAATTATTAAAAATATTTAATAGCCCCAAATTGGAAACAAACCAAACGTCCAACAACAGTTAAGATGAATAAACAGATTATGGTTTATATATACAATGGAATGAAATACAGCTACAACCACACACAACAATGTAGATTAATCTCACAAAGTGCTGAGCAAAATAAGCGAGCCATAAAGGAGTATATGTGTGATTCTATTCACAAGATTAAAAAATTTGATGACATTATACGTCAGGAAAAGGGTTACCCTTAGGAAAGGGATTGGTAATGACTAGAAGGGGATAAAAGGAAACTTTAGGACTGTGGTCTTTTTCTTGATATTAGCGCTGATTACACAAATGTGATCACTTTGTGAAAATTCATCTATCTGTGGACTTCTAATATGTGTACTCTTCTGCTTGCATATTTCAATAAAAAGTTTACACTAACAACAACCAAACAAAGCCATGAACCTTTGCGTAATATGAACCTGAAAACAAGGCAAAATATGGTACATCTGGGTACTAGAACTATGGATGAATTTTGCCCCCTCTATCTTTCCTGTCCAAAAAATTTAAAAATAAACATAACTTGGGCTTCCCTGGTGGCGCAGTGGTTGAGACTCCGCCTGCCGATGCAGGGGACACGGGTTTGTGCCCCGGTCCGGGAAGATCCCACATGCCGCAGAGCGGCTAGGCCCGTGAGCCATGGCCGCTGGGCCTGCGCGTCCGGAGCCTGTGCTCCGCAACAGGAGAGGCCACAACAGTGAGAGGCCCGCGTACCACACACACAAAAAAATAATAATAAATAAACATAACTTATGCCAATACTTTATATATAATTATTTTTCAAAATACAGTTGGCCTTCTGTATCCACAGATTCCACATCTGCAGATTCAACCAACTGCAGATCAAAAATATTAGAAAAAAGGAATTCCAGAAAGTTCCAAAAAGCAAAACTTTAATTTGCTACATACCAGCAACTACCTACATATCATTTACATTGTATTAGGTATTATAAGTAATCTAAAGATGATTCAAAGTACGCAGGAGGATGTGTGTAGGTTATATGCAAGTAGTATGCCATTTTCTATAAGGGACGTGAGCATCCCTGGATATTGGTACCTGCAGGGATCCTGGAGCCAATCGCCTGCAGATACTGAGAAACAACTATATTTCATAATGTACAGAAAACATGCAGAGAAATTTGAAGTACAGAAGGGGGAAGCTTAGAAAGTTATCAGATGACTGGTCTCAAAACACATGACGAACTATTAATTTAGTTTCCATTATCATTTCGGTCATTAAAAGGGCAACTTCATCATACCGTACAAACATATCAGGGTTATACAATAACTGAAGAGTAGCTTTAAAGTAAGAATATTGGTGGAGGAATGTACAGATTATATACTTATAAAATTACATCTTCAAGTCAGCTGTTTCTTCTATATATTAGTTAACTAAAAATTCAAGTATCCGGCTTCCCTGGTGGCGCAGTGGTTGAGAGTCCGCCTGCCGATGCAGGGGACATGGGTTTGTGTCCCGGTCTGGGAAGATCCCACATGCTGTGGAGCGGCTGGGCCCATGAGCCATGGCCGCTGAGCCTGCGCATCCGGAGCCTGTGCTCCGCAACGGGAGAGGCCACAACAGTGAGAGGCCCACGTACCGCAAAAAAAAAAAAAAAAAAGAAAAAAAAATTCAAGTATCACATCATAATCTTAGCATGCCATATTAGTTTCACTTTTTAAAAACTTTAAAATTTCCTGCTAAATTACAATAGAACATGTCTGCAACAGATAGATGCATAAAATGAGAAGTTTGGAGCCTCAGTCCCTAAGGTCCAGTTTGGCATTTATCACACCAGACTTTCACTGTGCACAAAAATAACTTATTTTTTTGTCTTTCTTTTCCTTTTATTTGGGGGTGGGATGGGGTAGTGGGGGGTATTATCCTTCCCTTTTCCCTCTCCTACAACCCATTTTATTTCAAATCAAAACAGAAAGACTAATGAGATTGGAAAATAATTTAGAAAAAGTTTCATTAAATTAAAAAATGTACACATTCGTCCCTTGATAGCCACGGTGGGGGGATGAGTTCCAGGATACACCCCCATCCTGCCCTGCCACTGAACACCAAAATCTGCGGATGCTCCAGTCCCTTATATAAAATGGCACAGTACTTGCATGTAACCTATGCACATCCTCTCATACACTTTAAATCATCTCTAGGTTACTTATAATATCTAATGCTATGTAAATAGTTGTCAGCATGCAGTAAATTCAAGTTTTGCTTTTTTGGAACTTTCTGGAATTTTTTTTCTTCAAACATTCACAGTTGGTTGAATACATGGATGCAGAACCCATGGCTACAGAGGGCCAACTGTAATAAAAATAACCTAATAATATGAAAGATTTTTAAATGCACTACAACTATACTTAGTGGGGACAATACAAGAGTAATTTTAGCCTTAGATAGCTGTATTGTTTAAAACTGTAAGGTACAGACATACCTTGCTTTATTGTACTTTGCAGATACTGTATTCTGCACAAATTGAAGGCTGGGGCAACCCTGTGTTGTCAGATAGTAGCTAGCTTTTCTCAGCAATAAAATATTTTAAAATTAAGGTATGTACACTGCTTTTAAGACATAATGCTATTACATACATAGTAGAATACAGTATAGTGTAAACATAACGTTTATATGTACTAGGAAACCAAAAAATTCATGACTTGCTTAATTGTGACACTCACTTCATTGCAGTGGTCTGGAACTGAACCTGCCTATAGTTTTCAACTCTTAGGATCTACCTAATAACATAAGAAACCACTTTTTAGTCACAAACGAAACAAAGTCACGAAACCACAAAGTGACTGTCAGGAACGATGCTGAGTGATCACTTACCATATAGTAACCAGTATGATAACCACTCATGTACCAAGAGATTAACATACTTCCCAAAGCATCAGCATCATCCAGAGAATCTGGACATATAGGAGGTGGTGGGGGAATTATCTGGAAATGGAGAAAGATACACTTTAAAATCAGTAGACAAAAACATAAGGTCTGGAAACCTATTTTATGTACAGAATGCTGGATGTTAGTTGTATCTTTCCC